CTCGCTCTCCCTCTCTCTGTCTTACAGACACACACACCACCACCACCATCAACTTTGCTAAATTACTAATGAAAAACATTGACCAGGCAGCTGTGATTGAGCAGCAATGTCCATCCAACTCTTTTCATGGTTGTTGTAGTCGTGATAATTTTGTGAGGCCACATTGAAAAGCCTCGGATACGTAAGCGTAGAGCTGCCACCGAGGCAAAAGAAAAATAGAGCTATATCACGTTATAACGTGAAAGGTTTATTGTTCTAACAATATACCTTTCACGTTTGAAGAATATAATATCACGTTATTACAATATACGTAATTATCACGTTTGTACAATATAAATATTAATGTACGAACGTGATGTTATATTGTACAAACGTGAAAAGTATATTGTTAGAACAATAAACTTTTCATGTTGTAACGTGATATAGCTCTATATGTCTTTTGCCTGGGTGGCAGCTCTGCGCTTACGTACTCTGATGAGCTTGCCTCATCCTACAAGTTGTGCCTCCATCTCTTGTGTCCAGATCACACGCTGCACTGCCGTGCTGCTCCGCCTTTTCACTTTCATTTCTGTGTTTGTGCGTGCGCAGTGTGAGAGGCTGCGTTGAGAGGCGACAGGATTTTAAACAGGTTTGATTATCTTGCGACTAAACGATTGATGATTGGGAGCTGGTCGTGAGGCATTAACTGCTTATCATTACCCCATATATACTACACGATGCACACACGATTAAGGCAAAACTCGGGCTTATCCCCAAAACGGCTGGACTGAAAAATCGTCTCAAAATGGGCCAAAAATCGCACAGTGTATGGTCAGCTTTTGGTGGCTAGCTCCAAACAAACATCCGCAGCTTGGCAGTGTATACAGCACTATAATGACCAGACCTAATTCTTTTGAAAACCATACATCTTTCCACAGGTCTCAGCTTCATCAGACATCACCTAGACTCAGAGCTGGATGAGGCCAGCGCAAACAGCAGCCTAACCAACTAAGATGATGGATCCATGGGGTCAGGAAAGCCGGGGGGGTGGAGAGGTACCTTTCATGTCCATTCACTGGAGGTGTGGATCTATTGCATGGCTTTCCTCACATCAAGAAGCTGTCCATCAAAAACAATACAGCTCTTCCTGCATCTGGAGCCTGTGAAGGACTTCTCAGTCATGCAGGACTCCTGTTCACTGCTGAAGCTTAACCATCACTTCACTGAGTGAAGAAATGGCACATTTTTGCTAAATATGC